GAGCGAATCTTGACTCATCTGTATAAAGTACAGCACTCCATTGTCCATAGTCCAATGGCTGTGTTCTCAAGCAAAAGCTAGCCCTGTTACTCTGTGAGTTCTGGTCAACTCTGGTCCTCTTACTGGACGAAAAGCCATTAATCCATATTCTTCTCCGAGCGGTACGTTCAGAAATTTGCACACCTCGAACTTCTTCAATCTGACAACGGTAAGTTGCCGGTTTCGTAAAATTCTCAAAGTCAAAAACCGGTCATCCCGTGGTTCTGATACCCTAGGCCGTCCAGAACCGGGCCTTCTATTGTAAGAACCAGTTTCTCGAAAACGCCTGACGGCGTCTCGTAAAGTTTCATATGGAACTCCGATGGCATTAGCTGCATATCTAATGGAACTTCCATCATCAATAAGTGCCACACCACGCGCAACATCCTCAGCACTAAGAGGCATTTTTAAACTAAGAAATGTGCTGAAAGAAACGGCACTGAACTAATGATACTGAATAAACATTTTGATTCCATAGAAAGTAAACATTGGAATCTAGAATCATTTCATTGAATTAAGGATTAAGGGTTATTGTCCTCTATATTAACATTATTAATTGAAAACAAACAAAAATATTTATTCATTAAAACAATAGACCAATCCAAAGCAGAAATATTTTTAGATGAAAACACGAAAAAATCAAGTGGGTGGAATTTTTTGCCTGTCAGTGTATGTACAATCATATATAATTATAATTATTCATATTTGTTTTCCTTTCTATACTTCTAAATTAGTTCTGCAATGTATGGTCTCTTATTTCTATATTTATATTTTACTTCTATGTACGTTTTACTTCTTCCATTTTTGTTTTTATTCACATTATACTCTTATCTATAATCTCTTCATTCTATTTTTTATGTATATTTATATATTTATAATTTATTATTTCATAGATATAGTATCTTTTCCTTATATTCATCCATATCTTCAAATTTTAGATACTATCATTTTCTAGGTTTTCCCATTACACAAACAGGTCAGCTAATTCCTCAATACCTACCCTTACCCTGATTTTCCAGTTCTAAGTAAAACTCCTAGCTAAACACACCTTCTCTATTTTTATTCTTCTAATTGTATTTACTTATTTTTTGGTTTTCTTTTTTCTTTTCTTTCTCCACATTCCTTCTCCACATGTCTATTATTTCATATTAAATCATTTTTCATTTTCTTCCAATCTCTCCGGTAGATTTGTAGAAGTATATTCACATTTGCATATATTATATATTGCACTACAACAATTGTTACCATCTATTTACTTCAGTTTAGGATCTTGTTACTTAGCTTACTCTGTTTATATTTTGATGTACTTACTGTTTATAATTTTTATAAACTTATTCACATTGTTTATAGTTTTTTGTCTAAATATTATGTAACTTCCGCGATTCTCTATATCTTTTTGTATCTTGTCTGTTCTAGCACTGAAGAAGACCTGCAAAGTAGGATCGAAACGTTGGCCTTTAATAAAATAGTTTTTCCACTATTTAGCCTATTTATGGCCGCAACCCATTACCATCTCTTAGCTTTAACAAAGAAAATCAATTGCCCTTCTCCCTTCCCCACATAAAAACTCAACCCAAAAATCTTCAAGAATTTTTACCGGTTATTGTGGAAAGGAAAACTGCCCATTCAAATTGTAGGTCCCACAAACAAAAAAAAAAAAATAAATAAATAAAAGAAACGGATGTTAACCAGTAAAATACAAGTCGTGAAATTGAAATGTTTAAGGAGTAGGTCTGAAGAAACGGCCTATAAAATTTGTAGGCTACTATGGCCATTTGATTGTACTCATCTTTATTAATCAGTAAAGAGAAAATCAGCTGGACGTACATAAATTTTCATAAGCTCGTTATACCGACATGTTGTGGTTGGAGGTCACGCCAAACGGACTAATATTTTTCTAGGCCACATTTGTTCTCGATTTTGTGTTCAAACTATCTTAAGGTTCAAGTGGAAAGAAAACGGCTGTTCATGAGTTTTAGTATCTCATCAAATTTACATGTTTACCGATCTCCAGATTAAAAAGCGCCGATTCTGCGAATTTTCGTAGATAAAAAAGTTGAAGATTATTATAAAATGAAACCACTCCCAAAGTTTTAGACGGATGTTTGATATAATTTGATAAAAAAAAAAAGGTCTGTACTGCGGACTATGTTTATTGCAAACGAATCAGAAAAAATAAATGATTACAAAGTTTGGAATAGCATTATTGAAAGCTGTTTCAACCATTTCTTGTTTACATTTACAGAAAAGAAAAAATGTTGATTCATCAAATCGGCCTTTTTAATATTTTCTTTTAAGCTCCTGAATAGTAAACTAATTTTTACGACAAAAAAAGCTCTAGCAAGAATGAGTTGTTTCATGTCCGCCGCCTAAGAGATGCGACGCACTTTCTGCCCCCTCAATATTTTGCGATGTTGAAGCCCCTCCCATATTCTGCAGTGTTTTTTTTTTTTTAAATAACAAAAAGTTAAATAAATATACAAATTAGAGGCAATAAATTAATACTAAGCTACTCTTTTTGTATGAAGTTCTAGTCCCCTCCCTCCTTCTGATGTATTTGAACCTCGAACACAGTGAGGAAGTAAAGGTTAGTGTAACATGATGTAACAGTTATCAAGTTACACTAACCTTTACCTCCTACTACCCTCTTAATATTTTCCAAGCGCCGGAACCTAGAGGTTATATAAACATATATCAGTTTTTATTAAATAAAATCCCGATTATATCATTTTATTACTATTCTCCTAGAACAGTGCAATTGTTGAGGATGCAATATTCTGAGAAAATAATTTTTTTTTGTATGAAAAATACGTACAAGTTAATCGAATTAACTTTTTTTTTTTATCATAAACTAAACTAAAATTAATATAATAACGTATAATACTATTTTGTTTTAATCCTTTTGCATAATTTTTAATTTATTTAAAATTGTAGTTTTGTTTCGAAATTATCATATTCAAATAATTTTTGTTATCATGTTCTACTGAATTCCGACTCCGAAACTCAATAAAATTTAATAAATCTCTTAGATGATATCCCTCTGAATTCCTACTTCGATATACAATAAAATTCAATCAATTTCTCTTATCATATTCCACAAAATTCCGACTTCGATATACAATAAAATTCAATTAATTTCTTTAATAATATTCCACCAAATTTTGACTTCGAATCTCACAAACAGTAGGAAGAGAAGATACAAAGTCGTAGAATTACTGATTTAACAGGCTTGCTTCAAAATCAAACCAGTATAAACCATCTGGAATCTGGAGCTCAAGATAGTTAATCACATTTTCAGATCGAACTATTTAATTTTATTCTTCCCTTGCCTCTCGGCAATACAGATTTTTGGTAGAAGTAATTGGTACTTCTACCACTTATCTTCTCGTTCTTCGGCCATCGTTAGTGGAGGTTGAAGTGATCATCCCTCACTAATGCCTTCCACACGTATACGAATGATTCATAGTTTTCAGATTGAACTGGGCCATTGTGGCGAGGATTAATATATGGAGTTTTATCGGAAGTCCTCAAATCATAAAATAAGGATTAAGGCAAAGAGTTCCAAAAGAGTTGTTGGATTGAAATCGGTGATGAGAGCCGTTGCAGGAGATAACAAACTGATGAAGGATCTACTTATGTCTTCATACTTCTTAGTAAACTAATCATGATTTTGTAAAACCTATCCAATGCAATTGCTATTACAATAGACAAGACAGTGTTCTCGATAACCCATCACGGATGAGACCTGGTCCGGATTCGATCTTCAAAATAATGTTTGGAATTGAAATAATTATTTTTTTAAAAATACAGCATAATGTACCAGTGTGTATGTAAGCAATTTTAAAACTTATACTTACAATTATTGTAATAGCTGTGTGCATTGAAAAAGAAAAAGTCTACAGGCGTGATTTCATGTTCTTCCAACATTTTTCTATTCGACGAATCCCTTTTGTGTCTCTGATTTTGGGCATATAATCTTAACTACCACAGTTGTCTTTCGCTACCGACTCATCTCGATTTAATAGTTCAGCAACTGTTCTTCAGTATTCAGAAGCGTTAACAAGTGAGGCTTTGCTCGATTTCGGTTCAAGTCTCCTACAATGACGGCACTGATTTGTTCATCCTCGATTTTCATTTAATAAATATCTTAATCGAACTTATATAGAGCGCATAATTTTGCTTTAATTGTAATTAATCAATATTAATTAATTATCAGCATTAATTACTTAATGGTATTTAATTATTTATTAATAATTACTTAATAGTAATTAATTACTTGATAGTAATTGATAATAAAACTAAATGTTTTTCCGCTTACTCATTGCCATAAATATATAAATATGGATAAGGTGGAAGGGTATACAGGGTGGTATGGGATTTCGATAAACAGAGGGATGTAAAAAAGCCTCTTAAGATTTCATTTTGCAGTTAGGTATCTGTTTAGAAAAGCAAAATTTATAAAATATTTTATATATATATATTTATATACTTAAAAAGTATATTAAAATATTTACTATTTGAAAAGGTTCTTCAATGATTAACAAATGTTTGAAAAAGATCTTGCATTATTTGTGTCGGAATTAATGATACTTCACATATTATATTAAAATTTAAGATAAAACCGTTCATGTACTAATAAAAATGACCATTGTTCAGGATTACTGGATTATACAATATGTTATTAAAACGTGAGATTTTTTCCCATCCATTCAAATAAACTAACACCCAATTCACTTCATTAGCTAGGTCAATGGATGGGGTGTAAATGGAGTTTGTTATGTTTATCTTGATAACAGTTTGTATTCTAGTAAAATGAGGTAAATATTTATTGAAAAGGAAAACAATAGAAGAGGCATTGCCATTTCGAACCGGGAGTGCATTCTTAAGAATGAACTATATTCTTTTATTATTTACTAATAATTGTAGAAAATATTTATTTGTTAGGGGTATAAGAAGTTGATATGTACATCATGGAGGTAGGGCGGAGGAGAGGGGGTAAGTGTAGCGGAGGGAGCCAATGGGAGCCGATGGAGAGGGGAAGGCCACTCCCACTCCGAACGGCTCCAGTAGCTGCCCACTTTACCCTGTTTGTGTACATCAGTCCGGCTCAGTGTATACACATTAAACCTGCTAGCCACTCCACTCCCGCCGCGGTCTTGTTCTTTTTAAACATAAATGTTTATATGCTGAGCATGATGAAAGAGGAGGAGGGTCAGTTGTCGGTCGTGCACCAGAGCATCAATATCCAGCATCACTTGCATCACCTGCATGTCCACCAGCACCTGCCACCGCCGCCGCCGCCGCCTCCCGCCATCCACCAGGCTCCGGAGGAACAGAAGCCGCCCCCCAAGAAGAGTTCCGGAGCCAGGAGGCAAGAGAAGCCACCATATTCCTACATTGCCCTCATCGTCATGGCAATACAGAATTCTCCGACCAAGAGGCTGACTCTCAGCGAAATCTATCACTTCCTCCAGCAACGGTTCCCTTTTTTCAGGGGTCCTTATCAAGGCTGGAAGAATTCAGTTCGACACAATCTGTCCCTGAATGAGTGCTTCATAAAGCTGCCGAAAGGTCTGGGCCGACCCGGGAAGGGTCACTATTGGACGATCGACCCCGCCTCAGAGCTGATGTTCGAAGAGGGCTCGTTCAGGAGGCGGCCGAGGGGGTTCAGGAGGAAGTGCCAGGCCCTGAGGTACGCCCCGCAGGCAGCCACCGTGTACCCCGCGGAGCCCTCGATGCCGACCGCCACGCTGCCTCCGGAGGCGGCCAGCTACCAGCAGGGCTACTACCCGGACTACGCCTACGAACCCTGGAACTACCTCGGCCACCAGGAAGAGCACCATGACCCGTACCCCTACACCCAGTACCCCCCGGTCCAACCCCAGCCCCAGGTCCAGCCCTCTCAGACCGACAACGGTAAGTCTCAATAATCCTTTATTCACAATCATTAGTATAGTATGAAGTCCGATGAATACTTTAACATGTCATTTATCGTTAGTCATACTTGAATGCACTTATTTTTTTTTTGTTATTTTATGAATAAAATTATGCTAAACTTTAGCATTATAGTGTTAAATATGTTTCCTTCCAACGCAGTCATGAAATTTAGTTTATTTTAGTTATGAAGTATTTTCAAGTATACTATAAAAACCGAAGGAATAGAATATACTTTCTTTCCTAAATTGTGTCAAAATGTTTCTATTTCATGCTGACGCTTCATAAAGTGGTTTGAAGTGACATTAAAAAACTAATAATTGAACATTTGCTTTAAAAATAATTAAATTTGTTAAATTAAAAGTTATATTCATATAATTCTTTATCTGAATCACCATAATGAAATACCTATAAAAGAAAGTTGCTCCCGTAGATTGAAGTTCGCTGTAGTTAAGCATGTATAGTTAGTATCGTTCTTTTAAAAAACAACATTTTATTGTTATTGTATATATCCGATACATGTATTAGCCTTTAATTTATGTCCTTTATTAAGTGTAATAAAACAAATACGAGGCCAACAAATTAAAAATTTATTAAAGGAAACGTATGTCAATAAAAAAAAAAACCTTGTTAAAATACCTTTTTAATAAACAATTTATTTATTACAATTTTTAGTAGTCCTGGATTCTAAATTAAAATTATGACATAGTCATTTGAATTTAGGTACACTAATAAAAGAATAAAAATAATTCTTGTGTGAGATAGACATCCTTCTGTCTAATGCATTCGATGTATAGTAAGCAACATCACCGAAACATATGTAAATATCAGGATGGTTTATGTGTATGTACAATGCAATGTTATCAATTCAAAATATACAATTAAAAAAGTTGCATACTCTATCATGACTGTTAAAATAACAATTTACTTAGCTTGTCCACTGGAAAATATCACAGTTCCCTAAAGGATCCAGGATTTAAGTTTGCGGGGAGCTTCACTCCGAAAGGTTTATATATATATATATATAACTAATATTACCAAAGAAAGAAATTATCTATATGGAATAGTGTTGAAGTGGTTGTTTTAAGTGCTATTAAATGTAGTTACACGAAAAATAATACCTTTAATGATTATTTTTTTATAAAATATGGTTATATTTTATTATTTTGGGGAGACTTCAGCTCGAAAGACCCCCCCCCCCCTTAGATTCGCCTGTGGTCCAGTTTAGGGGTTAATCAGTAAGACATAGCTATACCTTAATACATATTGAAAGATAAATGTTATCAATTAAAAATAACAAAGGACTGCTTGCATCTTTTTTTCAAACAAAATTATTTTAAATGTTTGATATTTCAAACATTTACTTAAATTATAGTTATTTACATCTCTACGTTTGTTAAAACGTTTTCATGAAATTGGGTATTTTTTTCCGTACCTAATTTAGTGGTATGGTTATGGTTTTCAAACTTTTCTGAAAATGAGGAGCATGTGATGAAACCAGATTGACTATTTCAAACCACATATTTAAGTTTACCTATTCGGCTGTGATATGGATATGTGTACCTACAATTAATCTGTACACCAAAATCTGTATGGGTGACACTCTCAGAGTGTGTCATTCCGTATACAGTTTTTGGTTTTAAAACAACAATTCTCAACAAAATCAAGATTTCTCTATTAACCTTTCCTACTAAATTACGATAAATTGTAAAAGAATAATATATTACGAGTATTAAGAGCCACATACATTTATCCAAATAAGAAACAAAATTATTACTCAATAAGTAAATTATTGAAGAAATCCAATGCTCAAAAATCCGCGCTTAAAAAAACTACATGTAATAAGGATTAATCTTTAAGTTTAATGATTAATTATTTATTAATTTGTATAATATTTAATGAGCTATATCCTACCTGAACTTATTTATTCTACGTTGAAGTATTGTAAATTCTAGATAGTACAGTAATTTAACTTGGAAAAAATAATAGGATGATTTTCTTGTTTTGTTTTTCAATAATATAAATATTCAACGAATTGAAAAAAAAAATCGCTGGTGGATTAACGTGTAGTTAGAGAAACAATAATTCTTTTAGTGATACAATTCTTATCTTTTTTTTTGACACGTACTTGAGGTACAGAAGTACCTGCGCTATAATTTGAGAAGAGTGTTGTCTATTGTAGTTAAAAAAATATATTATGCTTTTTTCTTGAGAATTGTAATATGACACATTACATTTTTTGTAATTTTTTACTTTCATACTTTTACTAGATAAGTATTTCCATATATCATACTGTTAATTAAGATGATTTAAACCATTGTTTGAAGTGATGGGATCGGATCAAATTAACGATGTGCGGTTTTCGACGGATCTTTACGTTTCAGAGTCCTCTGAGTCCGAAAATCATATTTTCAGCCATTGGTCTGTCTGTCTGTCTGTGCCAAGATTATCTCGTGAATTAGTAGAACGATTTTATTGCTTTTTTTTTATTATACAAATAATTTTTTAATTTTTCTATAGACTGTAGCGCGAAAATGGCTCAACCGATTTTGATGAAACATTCCTATAATTTTCTAATTAATGTCCTTTAAATTTTCGTAAATGTTCAAAATTTTCCAGAAAATTCAGGGAAAAAAGTTACAAAGAAAAGAAAAATGTTTTGGGGCCTAACTCGCATATATATAAATATTGTATGGTAAAATTTAAACACGAAAAACACACCTTTTACCTTTGTTTTTGAAAGGTGGTGAAATTCCATACACAACTATATAAATATAGTTTATTTCGGACAACTATTAATGAAGATACAGCTATTCGATTTCTTATGTCAGATCATGCATGAGTTCAAATCCCGGTGCCAGAAAGGCGTGAAAGAGAGAGAAAAAAGAAAAGTAAGGTAAAGTTAAAAAATCTAGTGCCCGCATCACACAGGTTTCACTATTTCCTATACTTTTAACAGAAATTAATTTCTGACAAAATTAGGCTATGGCAAAAATTTTTGATTAGGAATATTAGAGTGTGTTGAATTTTTTATATGACTTTAGTTTATCAAAGAAATTCTACTGAAATCTTTTCTTTGATCAATTTTCAGGAAAATAAATCTAATTCAATTTTTTTTGTTTCTTAATGGACATATTTAAAGATAAAAAAACTTTTCTGAAATAGGTAGGAAAGTCGTGTGGGTGGACTCTTGTTTATTTTAAATAACTACATGATAACAGTTCAAGTCGAATAAGCTTAAAAAGTGATTAAATATTTCAGACGGCCTTTATGAATCTCACCATTGTCTCCAACAAATCCTTCATTAAATAAACCATTGTGTTTGTTTTCTCCTTCAACGATAATAAACCCCTAATGAATCAACAATAAGCACTACTCGGTAAACCATTCATTAAAAATGTTCCACTGTAGTAACTATCTAGTTAGTAAACTAGTTCTTATAATAATGTATAAATAATTATATTTATCACTAAAAATTTAACATTTTTTTTTTTTCGGCTTAGATCCAGCACTAAAAATTAGCGTTTATGTAATTGTAACTTTTCGACCTCATTAATTTATTTATAGTAAATTTAATAAGGAAGGTACATTTTATAATTGATTGGCTTGTAGTATTAGGAATACTAAGCTTCATCAAAATAAAGTAATATATATATATATATATATATATATATAATAAGACTTTAAAACTTTGAAATAAAAATTAGCTTTTTCTAAAATAGCTAGAAATTATAAAATGAATAATAAAAATCATTTCCAGAATTAGGTATAATTAGCACCCTGAGTTTCATCTAATTTAAATTTGGCTAAGATAATAGAGGGCTTACAGCGTTTTTCTTTTCTTTAAAATATTTATTTTTTTTTTGCAAAATGTTAACTTTAAAGATTATTAAAGTCATTATTTTTTATTAATTTAAGCCGTTTTTTATGATAAAACGAATTTTCAACTTTACTTTTTAAATCGCTGTCAAAATGTTTTGGTTTGAAAAAATCAGAATTATTTATTTATCCTGAAAATCATTAAATCTATCTATTCAACATTAGATTTATTGACAAAGTAGTATACACATATATGTTTGTTTCTGCAAATTTGTGGGTATTAACATTTACATAATTAAAATGCGTGTTTTTTCTCCAAAATTAATTAATTTGAATTTTAAATTTATATTCGTGTCTGATGTCCAAGGGTCCAAGGGTCGTTTGTGTACTTTACGAAAATTAGCTATTTTGGAAAGTCAATAGGTAGGTAGATATGCTGTAGAAATAGGGAATAGAAATTGCTCACATTCAGTATTGAAGGGCGGAATGGTATCCAGCGCCTAATCCCATTAATAGTTCTTAAATAAAATCAATATTTGATATGAAAACTTGTTTAGGTGTGTTTTGCAATTTTTTTTGTGGAGAGTGAAAAAGTGAAGTATAAAAATTCTTTATATTTTTTTACCGTTCCTATTTTTATTTGTCACTAAATACATACATCCATTCAACTTAATTCTATTAATTTCCAAATTGTCGACACTTAAGTAATTAAATATTAATTAATTATAGCACTGGATTAATAAATATAGCTCAAAAACGTTTGCAGTAATTACGTCACAGAGACCAAATGCGGACTGTGAGGCCGCGGTTCCCCACATTTGGCATATAATTTATTGTACATTATTCTGCTATTTACTTATTTTAACTAAATCACGAATTTGTGAACTTGAAATAAATTTGTAGTCACATGAGTATAGGTATGATTTAAACTCGTTGATATTTTATTATAAAAAAATCTCGAGAAAACATTTCCTAAGAAATGGAATATAAGTTTAGTAAATACTTAAGAAAATAGCTTTTGACCAATTATTTATTTATTGTATTAATGTAATTTATTGTAAATAATGTACATAGATCAGATCCTAGGGCAACTGATTCTGAATATCGGTGCGGCATTGACCAACTGTGATGCAACAAAACGACTGGCCACTTCGGTTCGGAACCACTTGTGAAACTC